GTAGTTGGTTTTCCGAAAAAATGCTCGGACAGGTTATTTTTTTTTACTTAAAGCGCAATTTTTTAAATAGAATTCAATTTTCCCCCACTTCCCATTTTTGGGCAGTGACGTCATTGACAATTTTTTTAAATAGTAACCTCAATTTTTTTTCTTTATTTTGATAGATCTTGCAATTTCCTACTCGGAAACATAATATTTGAAATATCTTACATAACAATTTTTTTTGAATAAAAGTCATTTAAAGATCAGACACATAAATTTTATTTTATTTTGAGAATACAATAAATGAAGAAAAGATAATTATTTGTAATTAAGTGCTTAATCTAACAAAATGATAATTATAATAAATATTAATAAATAATTTGTGAAATTGTCATTAAATTCTTTTTCATTATTATTATTTTTTCGAAAAACCAACTACTTCCATTGTGATGAATTAACGCCCGTATGCACCGTACACGTTTAATCCAGATTAAGGGTTTAATCACGTTTAGTACCAGTTTTAGCTATGCACCGTAATAAAAATCATTCTTAATCCGATTTTATTCTAATCCGTCAATATCGGAGGATCAAATTGTTAATCGAGATTTTCTTACGTCAAAAAGATGTCAACGTTTTGTCAGTATATTTGGAACTTTCTATTTGCGTTTCTTTTATTTATCTTATTTGAATTTTAATAAAAAACAGACATAGAATACCAGCTTTTCTTGGAAGATGAGAAAGATTCTAGAAAAAATGACGAGAGAAGTGAATATGTTTATACGATGGGCAAATAATGGGAAACTTTGTCATTTTTGAGAGATTTTTTACATTCTAACGTTACATCATAATTCTGCAGCAAACCCAGATATGTTGAAAAAGGTAAAAATAAGTAAGCAATACATACAGGGTGTTAAAAAAAAGTGTCACAAAATAAAACGGCGGGTAGTATGGGCCAAAATATGCAGAAAAGTCTTAATAAACATATGTCCGCAAATGAATGGTTTCAGAGATACGTTTTGTATCATTTTTTGATTATCTTTTTTCATTCTCAAAAACTTGCTTTTCTTATCGGAGTCTACCGATGTTTTTTCATAGATACTATTTGCAGTTATTATTTTGTTGTGGGTGAATAATTTTATACATTTTCGTTATGCCTGTTTACACTAATATTGAATTAGCTGACATGCATTTTATGTACGGTCGTGCAAATGGCAATGCGAGGGAAGCGCTACGTCAGTATTTGAACATCTCATTTAACTCTATGTTGTTATTGATTGTTTATAAATATCATTGTTTTTTTGTAATAATAAAAAATTGTTATAAACACAAAATGGTCCGTATCTCCGAAACCGTTAATTTGCGGTCATATATTTATTAAGACTTTTCTGCTTATTTTGGGTCATACTATTCACCATTTCATTTTGTGACACTTTTTTTTTAACACCCTGTTTTTGTGATTTTGTCCACTTTTAAATATATATCCATATAATTTTGAACATGCACAGTGTAGGGAAAGTATTCATATAGGTATATCCTTTTGCATAGATAAGCTTGAAATACAGCACTTTGTATGTATATATGTTAAAATTACCAAAAATGAACTTAATGGTTTTGCCATCCAACTATAGAATTATTTTTTTTTTAATACATTTGACATTCTTTTTCACCTTGCGTAAAATTCGGTATGCGTTTTACGGTGTGTTTACGATTTTGGTACATTTAAAAAAATAAGACTTCTATCTTCAACGGCCTCTTATCCTTTGACAATTGACATACATTTCTCCTGCCCAAATTTGAAGTTTTCTTCTTCTGTTTTTTTGTAAAATTTATAAAAATCCAGTGTTATCAGATTACTAAAATAGATTATCTAATCCGTAGCCGGTGCATAGAAAATAACCACTAGTCATTTAAACGAGATTTGCAAATCTGGATTAAATTTTAAAACGGTGCATATGGGCGTTATTCCTTTCAATTGAACCATACTGTATAATAGCTATTTATGAAACCAGGTTACGAAATGCCTTATTTTATGTACCTAACGAGTGAATATTTGCGGGACGAGCTGAGCGAGGTCCCGCAACATGTACCAGTTACGGTTTTTTTTTTATTTCATTTCTTTTTGCAACTGGGAGACAATGAATGTTTCGAAACCAATTTCATAATGTTCAATATTCAACTGGTTGGGTAAAGAAGGTCATTTTGACACAGGCTGCGATTACAAAATATGTCACTTAAATGTCAAAATTAGAGAAAGTTATTAAAAGTATTCTGTCAATCACTCCAAAATGATTTTTAGCAGTATAGTAATGCTATCCTTTTCAATCGCATGAAAAAAGAACGCGCATCTCCGATATTGTCTTCCTTTATCGTACGGGATAGTACATGCAAAGCTTCTCTGTCACACAACTCGGCTTACTCGATTTTTTTTATTTCAAAGCCTTGCTGCCCTCTTTAGTGACAAGTTTTTCACGCGCAAGCTTATACCACCTTGTTTGGAATAAAATTATCTATATTTATTTTGTACCGTTGAACGCTCAAGCAGATATGCACAATTATTTTGAAGTCGATTTTTTAAAATTACTTTTATAACTTGTTAATAAAAATAGTCTTAATGTTCTTTTTAGGCAACCCAGTTACCTTATATTTATTAAAATATTTTATTTAATAAAAAATACCTTTCATCCGGTAAGCAATGAGCGAAGGTCGACCTTACTTCTTATCTTAAACAAATATTCAGTTATTTTTTTTTTTTTTGGAAAATCGATTTATTATAGAATCGGTTTCTTAATTAATTGGTTATTTTGCTTAATCGGTTATTTTCGATTAACCGAATATTTTCGATTAATCGATTATTTCCAATTTTTCAAAGGTATTCGAATAATTTGTTTTAAAAGAAATGCGAAAAATAGACTATATGAAAATAATCGATTGATCGAATATAATCGGTTATTTTATATCATAGATATTTCGATTATTTTTAGAATTATCGATTTATCGGTCAATCAGCTTTTTATTAATCGATTATTTTCGATTTTTCAAAGAGAATCTAATAATCAATTTTAAATGAAATATGAAAATAAAAGGATTATTTGAAAATAATCGATAATTCAGTTATTTTTTTGAAAAATCGATTTATCGTAGAATTGGCTTCTTAATTAATTGGTTATTTTCCGTTAATCGATTATTTTCGATTTTTCAAAAATGATCGAAAAATTGATTTTAATGGAAATAATCCTTTTTTTTAAATCGATTTATCGATTATTCGACTTTTTAATTAATCGATTATTTTTTATTAATCGATTATTTTAGATTTTTCAAAGATTATCGAATTAATCTGTTTCAATGGAAATACGAAAAAAAAATCGATTATTTAAAAATAATCGATTATTTAAAATAAACGATAATTCGTTTATTTTTTGTAAAAACTGATTTATCGGTTAATTGGCTTTTTAATTATTCTATTATTTTTGATTTTTTAAAGATAATCAAGTAGTCGATTTTAAAGGAAATACGAACAAAAATAGATTGATCGAAAATAATCAATTATTATTAATGATCAATAATTTATTTCGATAATCACCCACTCCTAGCCACCAAATGACTTTTAATAGGTTTAAATTTTAAAATGTTATCTGGTTTCAGACATATAAATTTCTAGAGTTTTATGTGACTCATTCTCTATATTAATTAATATTCCTGAAGAAATAAGCTTTAATATATCTTTTTCTGAGGTCATAATACAAAACAGCATTTTCTCATTTTGACTAATTTTTAATATTGTGATAGTCGTAGAAAAAATATAATGTTCAACTCACAAGGTTTGATTTGCAGTATTCGCTTGCGCACATGCTTTTTTTATAATACTCTTAGACAATGAGTACCATTTCTTACTCGATTAACAATATTCTATTTCAACATTTTACTGTTGTCTCTTACAGAAAAGTCCGTAGTAAATAATAGCTAATGAAATATTCTATAAAAGGTCTTCTCTTTACATAAAATGTCGTGGCATCTGTTTGATATTAAAAAATCACCTTAAATTTATTTCATAATACAAAATTCCATTAAACACCGGTGTATGTTATATCTCTGGCCTCTTCTATCTAAGGTTCTCATGGACATTTTAGAGAATTTAATACGAGAGTTACCACTACATGCAAATGGTGTTTTTTATCTCGTAAGTTTATTGAACGTACTTATATTTTTTTTGGCTAGCTTTTATTGTGACCTCACTAATTCTAAATGGTGTAATATATGTCTGGAAAGGTCTCGATGAGCCAAGTTTAAAAATATAACGTTTATATAACTGCACTATGTCGAGAAAGTGCAGTTTACCTCCGAGGTATTAAAAAATACTACTTGTTTTGTAATAGTTTTTTTATATTTCTAATATTTTTCGTTTCACGTTTTACATTTTATATTTTTTAATGAAATTAATCCTTGCAAAACGTTTAAAATCAAGGCAAAATTTTACTTTTAACTAGTGCAATTACGTTATTCCAAAATCAAACATTTGTGCATTGTATTTGCTATCAGCCAGTGTAAAATTGCGTACTTGTTTTGCCTTGGTAATAGTTAATTATTGTCAAATAGGGATTACATCTAATTGATTTGACATTGGCGTAATATCAAATTAACTATTCTATTTGAATACAATTCAATGATGGAGCAATGCCATAAAGAAAACAACAAAAATTGTAGTTAAGTATTATTATATCAAATTTATGGACTTACAACATGATAAACTTACAAAAAGATGAAACAAAAATAATCCTTTTAAAATAATAAACAATAGTTAACGGTAATAACATTATTACAGAAGCTCTCACATATATTATTACATTTAAAACAAATTCTCAATAGGTAGTATTATTTATTAAGCGGGAAGACTTTCTGAAATTTGGAAATATTTTCGTACTTTTTGAGTATCTATTTTATTTTTAACTATGTAATATTGAGAATTTGCCATCTTATTGGAACTAGGATACATTTACCAAAAAAATACAATTTAATTTTAGTCTCTAAACACTTATTTTGAAATACATCCCATCTATAAATAATTTATATATAAAAAATTGTGATTTACAACAAATATTTTTGCCCCAAAAAGGCTAACAAGATACTAGCTACAGCAGCCAAGCTGAAGTTGACCGACGAAGCTGAGTTACAAAGATCTGTTTTACAGACTGGACATTTGGCATCGGTGGCACCTTGTGGGCCGTTTGGACATGCGGGGGCTTCACCACTTTTTGGGGCTGTGGCGCATCTTCTTGAAACCATTTCTTTGCCGTCTTTGTCTGAAAAGTTCATTTATTCATTAATTCAAAATAAAAACAATCTTTAATGATAAGATTTTACAGTTATTGAAATTTATAAGCCTTATAATCTTCGAGATAGATTCGTACTCTATTATGTCATATTCTATTTTGTCTCAAGATCTTTCTAAATATCTGTCAAACTTTATCAGGCTCATAAATTATAATGGACGTTATTGCAACCGGCTGTTATAATGGAATTGGTTATTTTGGAATGGATTAAGTAACACTTTATTTAGACAATTTAAATTTTTATGACATATATTATTATATGCATTACTTTTGTTACTATTCGATCACTAATAGGGGCAGAATTTTATTAAACATTTTTTTCAAATACCTTAAGCAGTTTCTTAAGGTAACTTACCAAGCAACGTTCTTTCGGTAAATAAAAAATTATTTAGAATTGTCGCTGTCTTTTGGGATATTACTACTGAAAAGTTCTGATTTGGTTTTATTGAGAAATTATAAGTGACTTAGTTCCTTTCTCAAATATCGCTTCCATTAATATGAATAAGGGCTGCCCACATTGACCTTCGGGATTTACTAGCTATAGGTTTGTTTTGGTTCACATTCTAGAATTGTTCCAGAACTATGAGCAAAACTATTGCGCAATGGTCCTTAACTTTGAACAGTTCTGTAATCATTCCACTTGTATTCGAAACCAAAACACTGCCAGAACAGTTAAATATAAAAAAGTAAATTATAAATAAAAAAGAAGAAATAACACAGGGTCAGTGTCTGGTTAAGAAAGAGGCCATATAATATTGTAAAAAGTAGATAAATTAAATTATTTATTCGTAAATCAACTAATCAACTGCTCCATTCTCATTAGACATTCGAAAATTCCTTGTAAAAATTGTAACACAAAACATGGCCAGGATCCCAAAAATAAAACTACTTGCAAAAAAGCGCAAGCGCAAACATATCAATTCTGAAACGCTTTGGGCCAGAACCGACACTGTTCGAAAATGGTTATGGAACCATTCCCAAGAAAAACCAAAACACAGAACTTATAGGTTCGGAACTAGTTCTGGCGAAACCACAACAGCAAATTACTACTGCGCATGCTTGAAAGGTTCTGGAAGAGTTCTAGAACAGTTACAAAATTGAACTAAAACAAAGCTAATATCATCTTATAACAATTTGTCTAGATTGACATTATTTAAAAAGTGGAGCTCATTTGGAGTAATTTACAATAACGCAGTCTTTAAAATATTATTTTATTTCTATAAGATCATGCAAACCCCTGACCTAAATATGAAATACCATATTGATAATGAGCAAGGAATGATACAACTCGGAAGAGTTGAACACTATACTTTTTCTAGGGCTGTAATACTAAATATTAAAAATAATTAGTGATACCGCGAGACAAGACGATAGAGTGGGCTCTCTCATCTCGTCTCGTAGGGCGAAAACTGTTCTCTCGTCTCGACGATAAGGCACTTCTCTCGCTCGAGAGAGCCTTTTTTCGTCTTGTCTCGTTATTCTCGTAATAAAACAATATCAAATTTAAATTTAAAAAAGACGATACACTTTATGGGTGGTCATTTTTATATTTTTTGGAATATATCTGTTATTTACGTTTGGAGAAGAAAATTCTTCAAATAAAACTTACTTCTAATTATTTATAATTATCTATAATTTTGGGTCTATACAAAATTTTCCTAAAATGGTCCGTATTCGAGAAATTTTACAAAATGTAAAAAATTATTTTTTTATAAAAATTGTTCAAACAAAAGTTGTTTGTAATATAATTTTCTATAATTTTTATCCTACACATAATTTCTCTAAAATGGACCGTATTCGAGATATTTGAGAAAATGTGTAAATTTCGAATTTTGACGAAAACTCAAAAACGGATTAAAAAAAAAACATTAAATTTTAAACTTAAGGTTTATTTCGGCCTGACGTAAAATGATTAGATTTTGGACAAAGTCAGAACATCTGGGGGGTACTTTACGGGAGGCGGTTTTTATATTTTATGGAATATATCTGTTATTTATGTTTGGAGAAGAAAAGTTACTTCTAATATTATTATCTATAATTTTTGTTTTATGTCAAAATTTCCTGAAATGGTCCGTATTCGAGAAATTTGATAAAATCTGCAAAATTCAGATTTTTATGAAAATTGTTGAACTAAAAGTTGTTTGCGATATCGATCTCTATAATTTTTGTTTATACATGATTTTTCTAAAATGGACCGTATTGGAAAAATTGTAGGAAAAGTGCTAAATTTTAATTTTTCAGTATTTTCGTTTTCAATGAATATCTGTAGAAAAATGTTTCGAGGTAGATGTATAAGGAAAATGTATATATTTAGTTTATCCTCTAAACATTTATAGCGGTGCTGCAATAAGTTGTACAAAATAACCAGAAAAAGCCTATAATAACTAGATAGGAAAGTCATGTGTTGGACACATCAGATTTTTTTATTGAGTTTGGATTTCATTGGTATGTAAGTGTGTGTAGTTTTCACGGGCATGATTCAGAAATATATTTTTTTTATAACCCTTTAGAATCTAATTAGATCAATAAATGAAATATGAAACAAGACAATGAGACTTTACACCTAATTAACTAATCTAAAAAAGTTGAGAACCAATATATTTGTATTATAGCTCTAGAAAACCAAATTGACAAAACCTCTAGCAACATACCTACATAACATCAATGTTCTATGAATATACTAAGAACGTTCTTTTTATGTTTTTTTTGGTATGTCCTTTCTAGAATGTTCTTAGAACATACCTACTTTATACTGAGTACGTGCTTTAAAAGTATATTCTAAAAAGTATATGCTGAGTACATGCCTTAAAAGTGCTAAAACAGGACATTCTTATAAGATAGTAAAAGTCATATACCCAGCATGTACCTCATGTTCTGAGAACGTTCTAAATGCTTACAGGTAAATATTAATACTAAATACATGTACAAACACCTTTATATACATATCTATATGAATTTTACCCAGATGTCGATCTGATAATTCGCTAGCAAACGCACTAATGTTGAGTGTTCAAGCCAAAAAACATAGAGAACCTTATTAGAAGAGAAGAATGACATAACCAACATATTTTTTGATCACCCGTGACGCTTGAGAGGTTGGCATTGCATCGGTTCATTGAATAAGTAAATAAATGATTAAAAATCAATTACATCGAGTGTGTCTGTATAAAAATAAAAAAATCTTACTATATTTAAAGTTTTTAGAACCTACTAGTGATATTAGAACACAAAATATCCCAAATATTAATTGCAAGTGTGAATTTATTAATATGGTAAATACTATGTGGCGAATTGAAACTAAAATAGAGTGTTACCAGAATTACACACTTTCTATGAAAAGAATCCTGTAAGGCCAGAAATTGACCTGGAAGAACTAGAAAATTAGCTAATGGAAGACGAAAAGTACAAAATGGTGGTGAGTAATTAACAAAAATATATTTAAACTTTCTCTAAACATAATAATCATTTTTGCAACTCTTGTTTTTGTAAGTAGAATGCCATGTACAATTTTTAATATTTCACGGTCGGCAAAAATCTTTAAAATATTTCATTAGTTATGTTCACTTAATATGAATATGTACCAAAATTGTTGATTTTTTTAATTTTTTAGGTTAACTGAAGATCCATTGTAAGCAAGCAAATGAAACTCAAGCCATCGATACAATAAAATATTGGTTGGTTAAGGCCAAAGAAAAACTTTGTAATAAAAATAAGAATAAGTACGAATTTTTGGAAATAAAGATTTAAAAAATGTTCACGATTTTCATTATGTACACTTTATGTACCTTTATTGTTCAATATTAATGTATTAGGGTGTCCAGTATATGCCTAGTATATGCTAAATTTAAATACTTAGTATATACTTAGAACGTACTATCAAATGAAAGTAGATACTTATTGCATACTGTACACGTACTTGAAGTAAATTCTCAGTATCTGCATTGCACGTATAAACAACGTCCCGTAACAGTATATTCTGAGAATGTACTAAATGCAAATACAGTATATTATATCAGCATATGCATATTCTTAAAAAGTATACACTAAGGAGAACCTAAAAATGTATAATTGTTATCTGGGTATTTGTGCATACATAACAGGACTTAATAGGTTTAGTATTCCATGTGAAATTTTTGTAATTTTAAACTAATTGTACATGATACCATTTATTTATTGGTTGGAATTATACGTGATGATCCTAAAATATAGAAAGGGTCTATTTTAATTAATAATATTCTCCCTATAATTCTACTCCTTACGAGTGGATTTTAATCCCAGAAGCCAACTGACTGATGGTGCCATTTCACTTACAGGTGAGGAAAACCCTGACAGAAATTTGAGGTTAAGTTCTCCACCAAATTCTATCTACCGACCATCTCCGTAAAGTGCCGAACGCTTACGAAGTTCCTCCGATTTTTAATGTCGCCTAACAAACTGGCAAAATTAATGACCAGCGCTAAGTTGATGATGCAGGAGGTTTAAAAAAATCTGAAAATCATTATGTCGATGGTTAAGAGGTGGTTTTAGTAGCTAGTCAGGCACTACGCAACCTAGAGTCCCACACTATTGGTGAATGGTAGAACCAGTAGTCGATATCCAATAAAGATTTACAATAAAAAAATGTGCCCCCAAATCAGGATTGGGTTCCACCCTGCCTTCTCTCCTCTGGGATCCAACCATTGCGGTGGGGCTGCCACATGCATTTATTATGTCACCATAGATCGGTCACCAATCCAAACGACGACAGGTCAAATTCCTTCAACAAACAGCCAGCGACCCAGACTGATTAGAAACGTTGGAAAGTAAAGAAAAAGTACGATATAGGGATGCAGTGGTTGATAATACAAGTCACAAGACGGTTTAAGGAGAAGTGAAACCATTTGAAAGTTTGGGATTGCTAGGCAATTGTTCAGAGAAAACCGATAAGGTTTCATTTTGAGGAGATAAGTAAAATTTATATGAGGGTATAGAGTGATGTTTCGATATATTTTAATCATGAATAGTTCAACGTACCTTTGTAGACCCATTTTTGGCAAACGGCTTCTTGGTTGGTATCTGCACTACCACCACACTTGTTCTTCTCCCATTGCTTCATGTCTTTCTTACAGGTTTCATTATCACAGGAGTAGCATTCTAGAGCGCTAACTGCAAAAAAAGAACAAAATTAAAATGTTAAATTTACTTTAAAAATCATGGTAAGAAAAAACAAGAACAAAAGTTTGACTTATGTAATCGAATAGGTACTCGCTTTTATAATGTTCTAATCTTATTCGGAATCATATATTTTTTTATTAATTCGAGAACTAATATACTAAAGTTTTGAATCAATTATAATATGGTCAATCACTTATTTTTAGTTTTCAAGGCCGCGTTAGATACCTACGCTTCTTATACAGGGTGTCTCACCGTGAATGACTCTTGTGACCACGTGATGGATGATAGATTATTTACATTTAGTCACGTTGATAGTCTTTTATGTTAAAAGCTTACCGTCATTTAACGTCATATTATTCCGTCTACAAAATAAAAATAACCTTGACCACAACATTTATTGAATATATTTATCAATTGCACCACCATATACTAAAAAAAGTGGGGACCAAAATAAATAAAAAAAACGTATTTATATTAATTGATAAAACTAGACCCACCCACGCTGCGGCTAGACTGACAAAGTATTATGTATTTAAATTGAACCAATGCCAAATCAACAGTAAGAACAATACCTATTCAATGTTGAAAATTATATTTTGGTTTGGGCTTGTTGCCACAATAAACGGACATACTAGATTTTTAACATTCACGATTCCTTTTCTGGTTAGGCTCTAGCAATTTGGCGTCCTTTTTAACCGACTTCAAAAAAGGAGGAGGTTCTCAATTCGTCGTAATATTTTTTAATGTATGTTTAGCGGTAATTCTTTACCACCTTGTCCAATTTCTATGATTCCTTCTTTGATAGTAAGGGGGTATCTTAGGGTCGGTCCTGTGTAAATTTAACTAAAATTTAATAATTGGGTCCACGAGAAAAATTCTCAAACTCTTCATTTTTTATGTATGTTTAGCGATAATTCTTTACCACCTTGTCCGATTTCTATGATTCTTTTTTGCTAGTAAGGGTGTCCGTCAGGGGTGGTCTCATATAAATTTAGTTAAGCTGTGACGGCGTCTCCACGATTTTAAAGTCGGTTTTTTAAAATTACTTTTATAAATACACGAATTTACAACTTCTAATTTCGCATTATTTAGATTATATGTACTAGTTTTACTATCAGCATAGGACAATGGTGTCACACTAATAGTTAATAGGCCAATTTATTTTATGTATTAATTACTTATTTTATGGGAAACATCAATCCATGTATTGTGAAGCCTTGACCTCACTGAGATTTCTAACTTTAAGAAATAAAAAGTATATGTGAGTCATTGTAAGTCTACTAAATAAAGTGAAAAAGACAAAGCTATACAATATTCTTTAAATACGGGGATAGGTCGTATTTCTCTAAAATCTAATCTTAAGTACTCCTCTTCGTTGTACAAGATTTTGTTACAAATTAAAGACCTACTTTCAATCACAAACCAGTTTAAAGATTCAACCAATTTCTAACCATGCTAGCAAGTGAATTGTAAAAAACGCATTAAATAGTAACCTAAGCATACCTTCCATGAATACCTTCTGGCAAAAAGTTATAAATTTTATTCTTATATTTCCTGCATTTCTAATTCGAGTCTCATATATCCATTTTTGCAGATTGAAGCTCTATTTTGGTAAAAATAGTTTGCAACAACATAAACGAAGAGTTGTCAAATAACAAAAATTTGTGTTTCTTGAAAGAATAGGTGTGAAGGGTAAGTTCTATCTTTAAAATACATTATGTTAGTTGTCTTTTTTTGAATGATCTCAAGTTTTAAGTGCATCGGCAAGACTGATTCCCAGGCTAATATGGCATATGATAAACATGACTCCACAATTGCTTGATATAAAATTTTCAGGTGAGTTATGTTTAAACAATTTCTCATAAATTTAAGTTTATGTAAAACTGGTATTAAATTATTTACAATGTTATATTTATTTAATTTATATCTATCAATACGAATTCTTAGATATTTAGACTCATTTTTGAGCCAAATTTTTATTTGATGTCTATGATTAATGATGGTAAGTTAATTCAATTTAGGAAGACTTGTTTTGTAACTGGCAAACGGGATGGCTGATGTCTTATCCATGTTAACTGTTAATTTATAATGAGAAAACCAATCAAACACGTTTTTTAAATAATTTTTACAAATTTCTTTAACTGCATCCCAAGTTTTAGCTGAGTATAGGATTACTGTGTCATCTGCAATTTGTTAATATAAAAAAAAAGTTGGTCCGAGTATCGTACCATGAGGGACACCATATTTTGTAGTTTTCTAAAAGCTTATATATTTATGTTACTGCCTGAACCCTTTCGATTAAATAACTACAAACAAGGTAAACGAATTCATCTCTTCTTCTAAGACCTCCAATACCTGCATGTGACGACATACATTGTCGAAGGCCTTTGCCAGATCAAGAAAAATACAGATCGTTGGAATGCTTTTATCTATCTTATTATACAACATATTTGTTAGATGACACATAGCATTGGTCGTAGATAAGCCGTTTTGGAAACCTTATTGATTTATTTATCAATACATTTAGTTTATTTTTCTATTTTTTAAACCTTTTCTCGCAATTTTTGATGAAGTGGTAATTAAGGAAATAGGTCATTTTATTTTTGAGTCCTCTTTTATGAACAGAAATAACGCTAGACAATTATTTCAAAATGTAAGATCTAAAGCTGAATTGCAGCCACTTATGACTCCGGCAAAGTAATAAATTGTTGTTAATTAACATTAACTGATCTTATTTATTAATCAAAATATTAACATGCTTGCAAAATCATAGTATATTTTCTTATATCGCCTTAACCCTGTGAAAATTTGCAATTCTTTATAATGATGGATGGCATGATGCATTTTTATAATTTATAAGGGTTTAATTTTTTTATTTACCTAAAAATGATTCGACAAAATTGCAATATGAGCAAATATTAATTGCAAATGATGTCATTCGTAAGGTAGGCATGGTATTCAGTTTGTAACAGCCCATGATGTCGAGAAACAAAGAAATTAACAATAATACAAATTTTCAAAATATGTATTAATGATGTTTGCCGACATCGTGGTCCGTTACAAAATGAATAGCATGCCTAACTTATGAATACGGTCATTAGCAAACAATATTTGCACATGTTACAATTTTGCCAAATCATTTTTAAATAAATTCAAAAAGATAATGTAAATTATAAAAAATGCATCATGCCATCATCGGAAAGTATTGAAGGTTTTCACAGGCATTTAAGACGATATTAGCGAGTAAACCTTCATTTTGCAAGCATGTTACTATTGTATGTACTAAACGAGATTATATAATGTTAATTAATAGTAATTCGTTACTTTGTCGGAGTCATATAAATCGCTGCAAATTGAGCTCCAAATCTTAAATATTTAGATTAAAAAGATATCAAAGATCATTCGGCAATTCATTAATTTCGTTTATTGACAATGTTGCCGATCCTGTATCGAGTTGTAAAATCGCTAACTTTCCATTCATTCGTACTTTATTTTACTACGAAATTTAATAGATATTTACGATATAAGTGCGGTATAAACATTATTAATATATGCATGTGAAAATTTAATTACAATTGTTAGAAAATACTCTACATTAAGATCTAAAAGTTGTGACCATCAACGATTTTTTGTTGGATACAGAGCAGGAAAATGTACAACACAACCTATTGGAATAAATACTATTGGTAGTGTTTCAAGATTAATTGCCGAATTTCTTGAACTGTCCAATCCAAAGCAGTATACAGGGCATTGTTTACGGCGTTTTTCAACTTCAATTTTAGCCGACTCTGGTGCAGATCTTCTAAATATTAAAAGATATGGCGGCTGGAAGTCTAATTCTGTCGCTGAAGGATATATTGAGACTTCGGCAGAAAATAAGAAAAAAACAGCTATGAAAATCTTAGGAGAAAACCAAGAAAATATACCATCGACCTCAAAACATATGGAAACTAATATTTGCAATTATCGGGCATGGGGCATGTCTGCATCTGGCATGAATTTGTACGATTGCAAGGATTGTATTATAAATATCTATAACAAATAATTTTTTTATATTGAGTTCATTATTAATGTTATATTTGTTCTGTTTTGTTAAATAAATGATTAATTTTGATTATCTATTAGTTCCGCATCATTACCGCACTAGTGCGGTAATGATTTCATTACCGCACTAGTGCGGTAATATACGTCATTACAAAATTTAAATAAGTGTCAAATCAGTGTCATTACACGACAGTTGTAGATAAAAAATGTTAGAATTAATGTTACATTTTTAGATTTGTATGTCTCTAGTATAAGTAGATGTGATTATAATGTCAGATGATTATTTTATGTTAAACATTCTAGTTACTTCGATCATAACTATTAATCACCTGGCAATATAATAATTCCTTTGCCACGTGATGCTATTTTGACTAATTTGGTTGACAGAATTTTATAATTAATAAGTTACTATAGTGTTGTATTATCGCTGGGCATATGGACGTAATCATACTTTTTCCAAATATAATTTTGTGCTATCATGGTATGAATAGCCACAATTTTTTTTTTAAATTCCAGTTGATGCCAATATGTCTATAGAAAATAAAATTTTCGTTATTGGGAATGATATTCATGATATTTAAAAAATTGTCTATAACAAACGTACCCTTGGCAATATAACTGACTCAAAATCACCAAGGTGAGAAATTTGTTACGTCAGCAAATAAATTACTATAATCATAATTTTATTGACTAAAGAATATAATGGAACATTAAAATTGATTTGTTTTAACTGTACATCGTACAATACACTTTAGAAATAAATTATCTTTTATATTATTTGAAAATATATATACAGAAAGTCATTTCAAGAACGCATCCTAACTTACAATGTTTAAAATCAAACTTTAACAAATCCTATAAATTACCGATATTAAATAATTTTCATTATTTATGTAGAGTATTTTTATTAAATAATCAGATTTTAAAAGAGCAATTCAAAAAAGCTT